GGCACATGTGACACAGGAATAAGTGGGTGATGGGTGCTTCACTGTAAGTATGAAAAAAAATATATACATATGCCCTTGAACAGCTATTCCCATATCCTTAGTGCTGTAATAGCCCATTCCTTTAAAGGAGGAATTGACAAGAGACAGAGATGGTATATTCACCATCTTCATCTCTGTACTTCACCATTTCCAAGTTCTTGTGAAGTGAACAAAACACTAACTTCAATATATTTTGGATCAGAGCCATAATTTTGCTACAGTCTCTAGTGTAGCATTTCATAGACATATGTAACATGCATCTTTTCCACATTGTTCCTATTTTTATTTTCACTTTTTAATTAAAGCCACAGTCAGAATTGCTAATGTATGAGGCACCCAAATTCTCTTTTATGCTGCCACCCTAAAAAAGCCAAATACTCTAATATAATTGCTGTCATTAGGAATAGAGCTGTTCATTATGTGGAGTATAACATAACTGGAAATAAAGAGACATTTATCAGAATATAATGGATATATTTTTATAATGGACATACTTTTGTTTATCCTTCATAAACATAAGTTAAGTCTTTAGGGCTTAAACTTCTTAAACAACCTGGAGACAATAAATGGCTTCTTCAGTACTATATTTTCCTCCTGTATTCGGAACTTTCTCAAGGTACTTTACGTCAAGAAGAATAATGCAAGTTGAGATAGGGGAATTTTTCTGGTGCTTAAATAAATGTGTTTTCTGACACTGATAAATACTACGTTTTCTGGACATCACTATTATTTACTTGACCTGTTCAATTTTGCCACAGTTTAAAAGAACCAAACATTCTTCTGATAAAAAGGAAGCTATGTGAGAGATTGAACAGGTTCTAGTTAAACAGTTGCCTTTTGGTTCAAATAAATATATAAACTATTGGTTTGTGACAATGGTACTCCAAAGTAAATCATCTTCTAATCTTCTTCAAAGTGGGAAAACTCCCATGGGAGTGTGTGAAAATATTATCTCCCCTTCCTAGCATCAAACACATTTGGAATAGATCAATCCCTACTGCCATCCTTGTACCAGCAATCTGAAATACGCTCTTGATATTTAAAGTACAGTGGAAAATATACTGTAAGAAACAGTTATTGGACAGCAGAACAGATTAATGAGTCTTTTCTGTCTCAGATTTACCTAACCCAGTTGTAAAGTCAGTTTTGAGGAGATTATTTCCATGAGCCTGAACCTGAATGGAAATATCAGTCATGGACTCATATGTTTAAACAAGTGTGATACTAGGTACTGATCCAAAGGTTACTGAATTCAATCAAAAAAATTTTATTCACTACACTGGACATTGGGTCCAACCAATTAGGCTAGAGATAGACATTAAAAAAGCCTGAGCCTGCATTGATTCAATCTTTGCAGGTTAGTATAACCTGGAAAACTTGAACTGATTTCGAGGTGGATAGACATTCCATTTTCATTCCAGAAATGCAGGCACATGCTTGCAGTGACTCAGGCAAGAAGATGGGGGCACTAGAGCAGCCCTCCCTTCCCTTCTTCAGTGCTGAGTTGAGGGGAGCATGGCCAGGCCCTGGCAGGATGCTCTGATTAGGGAGGAGTGCCCCTCCCCCCTACACTCCTCTCACTAACAAGAGAGCCAGCACGGAGTTATACAGCATTTACTTACACAGCAGGGAGTTACACAGTGTTTAGCAGCCCAACAGCAAAACAAAATGCTCTCTCATTAGGTCAAGCTCTTCTTAAACAACTTTTTCCAAGGAACAAAGGGACATTACCAGTTACCTGTTGATTAGCCCCAAAGAGCTATAAGATGACACTGTCCTGTCTGCTTTTGCCCTGTCTCCCACAGCACAGACCATAGCCAGCACGTGGTATGCTAAATAATGCTGAGAGGTGTCTGTGTACGGCAGAGGGGAGGGGGGAATCCCTGCTTGAGCAGGGAGTGGCGAGGGGAAGAAAAGAGGAGCAGGAGGAAGCCAGGCAGACCCTACTGTACCTGCAGTCTCTGCCAGAGCTGCAACTAGGCAGCAGAGGGGAGGGGCCATCCCTGATAGGCTGGAGCAGGGAGCAGAGTCCTGCAGTTGCAAAGCATCTGGGATGGTGGAAGACTCTGATTTAACTTAAACCAGGAAGGGGTCTGGGGCAAACATTGCATAAACTGGTTTGAGCCAAATAATTAAGTCTGAAAGTATATTCAACCAGGTTTATTTCAAACTGGTTTCAGTCATTTTCAAACTGGTTTATGCACTGAACATCTGTTCCGTTACAGGTTTAAACCAGTTCTTGATCACTTAAACCTGTTTATTCATAATGTCTGTCCCTAGCCTTCAAGACAGATTACCCCAAGAAACCTATTTCCCTTACTGATCAATTTCAGTTTATGGGAATCTGTTAATGTTGGTCATGGAAAAAAAAAAAAAAAAATCACTCAAAAGACCGTGTTTTGAACAGCTGAATGTATATTTGTTCAAATGCAGTAACTTGAAAAAAAAAATCAAATATTTTGGATACTTCTAACTAATTCTCAGTGGTATGGGAATAGACTTCCTCTGGTCCAGTGTTACCATAGACTAGGGGTGCAACAAATTAACTGTTTGTGTACAGACTTAAAAAAAGATTTTACATGTAGGGCACAAAAAATGAAACTGCAAGCCTAATTTTTTTTCTAAGATGTTGGACAACCAGAACTTAAATAAAGCTACTCAGAGTTATGAATGCTTGAAACTTCTGACAATCAGGCCAGTAGTCTTACAAACTGGATCCCCAGAATTAGACCATCCAAAATTCAGGCCCAGATTTCAAAAGTTTCTCTTTGCTAACTGTAGCAAATGATTATGGATAGTGTAACACGATTATGAAATGTACTTGTTTCATAATTGGAACAAATAGTCAAAATCTAAATAGACATTTGCGGAAGCAAACCTGATGCAGCAGTGCTCTCACTTTCAGGACAGAAACCCAGGTTTTTTGTTAGTTTGGGACAGCCAAATGGAACACCCCTTGAGCAAGAAGCCATAGTTTCCATGATATGGCAGATATATAGCATGTTTCTGTGTGGCTGCAGGCTCATGGTATAAATCCAAACCATTAATTCTTTATGGGGACAAATTGTTTACAGAGTAAATTTTGCCTGAGAGAGGACGTTAGAATGCAATTCCTTGAGCTGTTAATACAAATGTTCTAAGTAACTAAACTGATACTTTCTGAAACTCACCATCAGTTTCATTTTCTACAGTGCATTGATCTGATGGACACAATGCCATTCCTCAATATCTTACTGAAAATATCAGTAAGGCACAAATCCAGAACAACCATCCAGACGCATACTTTTCTGTATTTACACTGACGCTCAAACGTTGCTGTCTATTATTTGAGTATAATATAAACCATTGGAATTTAAATCTTCTAACCTCTGTTCAGATAATTATGTATGGTAAATCTTTTAATAGGAATATATGTGTGCCCCGCCCCACCCTGATAATAATGCCCACCCTAAAAACAACCAATGAGATACTTAATCCATGTCTAAATGCCACTGTGAATGTCAGAGAAACCTTTGAACAGCAGAAGAACAATCCTGCCTTATCTACCTGAAATCCAAGGGGAGGTTACAAGGGTTGAGAAAACAACACAGTGGTGCATTTTTCATTTGTGTATAACCTCAAGCACATTTTAAACCATCACTCATAACAGTGAATCAAAACCTGACAGTATTGCTTGTTGCAAATCTGACTCCCAATAAAGATCAGGAACAAAAAGATCTTTGAAAAATAAGTTGAAGGAACATAAATTGTGTGAACACAGTCATGGACAATCAGGTTTAACTGTATGTGTCCAATAACCTAGCATGGGCACTTGCCGTTCTGGGAAATTGCCAATGTAAGATACCTCTCCAAAAGTTACGACAAACTAATAGCAGGAAATGTGCAGGTCATAACAAGCATCCACTGGCAAAAATGATGATCTAAGCTATAAGAACAGGATTGCCCATTACATCGCTGTTTACACACATTGAGCCCTGCCCCTAATGCCATGCCCATCATGGAATATGAGCACCTGATGTAGTATGGATGGAAATGTTTGTAGCACCTTTTTATTATTATTATTATTATATTTTAAGGGTTTTAATTTCATACCTAATGCACTGAAAATGTATTGGCAACAAGTTTCTACAGATGTCTAAATACCTAAGCAGAGCCAAGGCACTGATCAGAACAAGCACTGAAACAGGGCTGAGGTGTTTACTTTCAAATACTAATGTAATATTTTACTCTGTGTAAAGTTTCATCTGAGCATCTCAGAATGCATTTTTTAATTACAAGTTATACTGAACAGAGCTGCAAAACACCTTTAAAGGGTTAATTAGCTATGTTTTGCACATGAGAAACTGAGGCAAAAAATAGCAAAGCAACTTACCCCAGAACAGACAGCAAAATAGTGAGGAATCCAAGAACAGAGGCAGTTTCCCCAGACACCCACTTTTGTGTTTTAACTTCTATCCAGTACTTCATAGTGAGTGTACTGTGTTAATTAACATGGTGACTATTTCCATTATTCCAAATAGTTTACATAAATGGCACTTCTGATGGCCTCTAGTAATCCAAAGAGCAGTGGTTCATTTCACCATTATTAGACTCATTGTGAAACACTTAGAGAGCAATCCTCTGGCTTAACAAATCTGCTTATCCTTTGAAAAAGCTTACTATCTAATTGTACTAATAAGATGGTTTCTGGTTGAATTATTAAAAAAAAAAATGTACTTATAAGAATGAGAGCCCATTGTAGAAATAATTCATAGGCTAAACATAGCTCAGTTCAACCCCTGATCCATCACAGAGAGAATAGAAACCCAGCTGGTAAGTTTGTGAAATGTTTGAGCAAGTAATGGGTAAGTATTACAATTCTTTAACAAGACTAAGAATAGATAGAAAACTACAAGATTGCTTTCTCCTTTCCCCTTCTAATTGTTGTTAACATGCAAAAATAGATATTGAGGTAGTTTTACCTTGTCAGAGAGCACTAGAGAAATTTTCATTTAGAGCTGGAAAGGACCAGGGTTTGCTGCTAGCTGAGACTGTTTGGGTTCAGGTGGGGGGATAACTGATTAGAATCAGAACCTATTAGACACAGCTGGTCTTTAATCTGTCAGTATAGTTTAGTCAGAATTTTGCTCCAGTTCTGAGGCACTCATTTAACTTGTGAGATTCACTGTAAGCTATAAGCAATTTACCCAGACTGAGATTTCTTTTAACCTGAGGAGTTTGTTTCAGCGTTTGATGTTTACTGCAGTTTGGAAAAGCCATTCCAGGCTCAAAGCTATACCCAAATAAAGCATATAAGGGGTGCCTATATTGGAAAAAAAAGTCCTCACTAAGTGACAGCCTTCTACTAGGGTGCTTGAACTCACTAGGCACCTCCCTACTTTGCTGTAAAGTGTCAAAGTTCTCCAGGTGCCAAAAGTTCTGCTTTTGTACAAACTCACAGTAGCCCCAACATGAGCAGCTTGTTGCCTAGATCCTACCTAAGCCCAGTCAGGAACTAGGTGTTGCTCCAGTTTATACCCTGAAAGGGCATGATCCAGTCAGGTGTTTACACTGGCCTGTAGCCTAGAGTGGATACATCTTAGTGTAACATAAGTTGGGTAGCACAGATCAGAGATAAACCAACCCTAAATTAACCTGACACTGAGCTGCCTCACAAGCACTTAAAACTAGTTTCAGGTGTGAATGTACAGACAATCCAGGTGTTAAATGCTCCAGGGGCCACCCAAAATTACTGGGTCAGGCCCACTCCCCTATCCTCTTCAACATCACAGATCCCTACTCACAGCCCTTCACCCCATGTGCTTACTTGTGGCTGCCTTGCAGTTTGTCCCAGGGAGTGGGCTGGGAAGGGTTAATCTGCCTGCCTCGACACCACTGCTTGTCTCCGGGGCTGGGCTCATCCTGAAGAGCAGCAGCAGTGGCTGGGCAGGTATGTTAACCCTTCCCTGCCCGCTCCCTGGGACAGACAGCATGGGCAGCCACAAGTAAATGGTAGGGGCAGGGAGGAGCCCTACGGGGGCCAAGAGGGAGCCTAGAATGGGGGAAGTGGGGGAGGAAATCTTACCTTTCAGTTCTCCAGGTACATGTTGCCCTGAAGTGTGACTGCTCCAAACTGGAGTTGGCACTGACAGTGATCAACATTTGTGCAGCTCATGGTATAAGGTGTAATAAGGTCCTCAGTGCATACCTACCACATACTGACAAGACCAAGCCTCCTACAAGATGCAGTTGAGCTCATTTTCTTTAAAAGAAGAAGCAATACACATGGTGTCATCCATCTTTTATGTAGTATCAGAGTGCTTGCCCAGGAAGTGGAAGATTTGAATTCTATTCCCTGCTTGTAATGATCATCAGGCTATAAGCCACTTCTACTGAAGCTGTTCCAATGTGCAGAAAAGACAGAAAGTTTCACAGGGCCTGAAAGAGAGAAGGCAAAAGGAGTTTTACTGTAGACTACTGAGTAGGGAACTGGAAAGTAAGAAGTTCTTACTTCTATTTCAAGAACACTTTATGCATTTTATTTGCAAAGGACTTTTAATTAAATACATAATTAGTCTTAGGAGTAATGACTCATTGGTCCCTGTACAGAAAGGGGCCGAGTTTCAAGCACGCTATTCCCAAAGTGTATCATATTGGCTAACTCAAGGCAGGATTTTTGGATTGTCATTCTGAGCTGCCTAATAAAGTCTGCCCATGTGCTATAAAGGGCTCCTACACACCTAAGCTCTGGATTCCACACTGTAGTGCTTAGTTTGTGCTTTTTTGGATCTCTTTGTCTAGCCTCAGTCATGTCTCAGTCATGAGAATTTTTTTGTGATTTCCTAGTTGGTCTAATAAAAGGTATCATTTCTGACCCAAGAGTTCTAGATTTTTTCATTTCTTTTGGTGTCAGACCAATACAGCTACCAAATACATCCCTCTTACAAGATGTTAAAATGTAATTACTTTGAGTCTCTTATTGTCTCTCTTTTTACTGAACTCCTGATTTTTCTTGCTTTCTTTCCCTTTTGTTGTACTTACAAGTCTATGATCCACTGCTCGCTACAGTATGTAAAATCTTCTTTCCACACAGGTTTCCTAGATACAGCCTGTCTCCTACCTTAACTTAGGTTTTTCATAACAGCTGAATCAATTTCACACTTTACACATCACTTTACAATGGCTTTCCTTAGAATCATAGAAAGTCAGGGTTGGAAGGGACCTCAGGAGCTCATCTAGTCCAACCCCCTGCTCAAAGCAGGATCATCTCCAACTAGATTATCCCAGCCAAATCTTTGTCTAGCCGGGCTTTGAAAACCTGTGTGCAGGGCGGCGGAGTGGGGAGCCCCTGCCCCACCGCACCCAGTGTCCTGCCCTGGCCAGACAGTCATAGAATCACAGAAAGTTAGGGTTGGAAGAGACCTCAGGAGGTCATCTAGTCCAACCACCTGCTCAAAGCAGGAACATCCCCAACTAGCTCATCCCAGCCAAAGCTTTGTCTAGCTGGTTTTGAAAACCTCCAAGGATGGAGCTTCCACCACCTCTCTGGGTAACTGGTTCCAGTGTTTTACTACTCTCATAGTGAGAAAATTCTTCCTAATAGCTAACCTAAACTTCCCTTGCTGCAACTTGAGACTGGCCCCTGGTTCTGTCATCTGCCACCACTGAGAACACTTAGCTCCATCCACTTTCAAATGCCCCTTCAGGGACCTGAAGGCTGCTATTAAGTCAATCTTCTCTTCTCTAGACTAAACAAGCCCAGTTCCCTCAGTCTTTCCTTGTAAGTTATGTCCCCCAGCCCTCTCACCATTTTTGTCACCTTCTGCTAAACTCTCTCCAATTTGTCCACATCCTTTCTGTAGCAGGGGCCCCAAAACTGAACAACATATTCCAGATGTGGCTTTACCAGTGCTGAATAGCAGGGAATAATCACTTCCCTTGACCTACTGGCAACACACCTACCAATGCAGCCCGGTATGCATTTAGCCTTCTTGGCAACAAGGGCACACTGTTGGCTCATATTCAGCTTATTGTTTACTGTATCCCCCAGGTCCTTTTCTGCAGAGCTGCTGCCCAGCCAGTCAGCCCCCAGCCTGAACTGGTGCATGGGATTGTTCTGTCCTAAGTGTAGGACTTTGCACTTGTCTTTGTTGAACCTCATGAGATTCCTTTTGGTCCAATACTCCAATTTGTCTAAGTCATTCTGAATCCTAGCCCTAACCTCCATCATATCTACTACTTCCCCCAGCTTGGTGTCATCTGCAGACTTGCTGAGGGTGTACTCTATCCATCTTCCTGGTCGTTGATGAAGACATTGAACAAAACCAGCGCCGGGACCAACCCCTGGGGCACTCCACTTGATATGGGCTGCCAACTAGAAATTGAGCCATTGATTACTACTCTCTGAGCCCGATGTTTCAGCCACGTTTCTATCCACCTTACAGACCATTCATCCAGCCCATACTTCTGTAGCTTGCCTAGGAGAATGTTGTGGGAGACCGTATCAAAAGCCTTGCTAAAATCAAAGTACACCACATCCACCAGTGACCCTGCATCCACAAAGCCAGTCACCTCATCATAGAAGGGAACCAGGTTGGCTAGGCATGACTTGCCCCTGCTGAATGCATGCTGACTGTTCCCAGTTACCTTTTTCTCCTCCAAGTGCTTAGAAATGGAGTCCTTGAGGATCTGCTCCATGATTTTTCCAGGGACTGTGGTGAGGCTGACTGGTCTGTAGTTTACCTGGATCCTCCTTCTTCATTTTCTTAAAAATGGCCACTATGTTTGCCCTTTTCCAATTATCTGGGACCTCTTCTGATCACCATGAGTTTTCAAAGATGATGGCCAATAACACTGCAACCACATCAGCCAACTCCCTCAGCACCCTCGGGCGCATCCCATCTGGCCCCGTGGACTTGTATATGTCCAGCTTTTCTAAATAGTCCCTAACCTGTTCTTTCACCGCTGTGGGCTGCTCACCTTCTCCCCAAACTGTGCGGCCTGGTGCAGTAATCTGGGAGCTGACCTTGTCTGTAAGACTGAGGCAAAAAAGGCATTGAGCACTTCAGCCTTTTCTGCATCCTCCCCATTCAGTAAGGGACCCAAACTTTCCCTGGACCTCCTCTTGCTACTGACATACTTGTAGAAACCCTTCTTGTTACTCTTCACATCCCTTGCTAGCTGCAACTCCAGTTGTGCTTTGGCCTTCCTGACTTCATCTATGCATGCCCAAGCAATGCTTTTATATTTTGCCCTAGTTATCAGTTCAAGTTTCCCCTTCTTATAAGCGTCCTTTTTATGATTTAGTTTACAAGAGTTCCCTGCTAAGCCAAGCTGGTCTTCTACCATACTTGCTAGTCTTACCCCCACATTGGGATAGTTTGTTCCTGCACTCTCAGTAAGGCATCTTTGAAGTACAGCCAGCTCTCCTGGACTCCTCTCCCCCTTAGTCTGGCTTCCCAGGGGACCCTGCCTATGAGTTCCCTGAGGGAGTCAAAGTCTGCTTTTCTGAAGTCCAGGGTCCTTACTCTGCTGCTCTCCTTCCTTCCTTTCCTCAGGATCCTGAACTCAATCATCTCGTGGCTGCTGCTGCCCAAGTAGTATCCACTACTACATTCACCACCAATTCTTCCCTGTTGGTGAGCATCAGGTCAAAAAGAGCACAGTCCCTATCTAGCCGCTCCAGAACTTGCAACAGAAAGTTTCCCCAATATTCTCCAAAAACTTCCTGGATTGCCTGTGCACTGCTGTATTGCCCTCCCAAAGATGTCAGAGTGATTGAAGTCCCCCATGAGAACCAGGGCCTATGATTGGGAAACTTCCACTAGCTGTTTGAAGAAAGCCTCATCCATCACTTCAGGCCCTCACCATGACATCACCCTTGTTACTTTCCCCTCTGACTCTAACCCAGAGACTCTTAACAGGCGTATCTCCAGCTTCATACTGGAGCTCTGAGTAATCATATGGCTCTTTTACATAAAGGTGCAACTCCTCCTCCTATTCTCTCCTGTCTGTCCTTCCTGAAGTTTATACCCATCCATGACAGTGCTCCAGTCATGCAAGCTATCCCACCAAGTGATCCTTTCACCATCTCTGCCAATTTCTTAGTACTCAGTGGCATCAGCCATCTACACAATACCATCCCAATTGCTCCAACAACAGGGGATGCATTTTTTGGGGAATGCCCAAAGAAATGCCTACTTTTATATGGAAAAAAGACATGTTTGATTCACATGAAGACATATCTGATACACAAATAAATAGGTGCCATTTTAAACAAATATT